GAATATTTTCCGGGGTTGGAGCACACATCGATCCATCTACTGTGCCAGCAAACCGGGTGGGTCTGTGTTAAAACAGCCGAGTTAACCCAGGTTAAAACTAAAAGCAAAAATGAGCCACGTGGTTCATTCTGGCATGCCTGAAAATGGGATTTTTTTCTCCAAACGCTTCTCTGCTGGAGTTGGAAATGGGTTTTCCTCCCTTCCGAAGCTGAATTAAATGTTTCAGAGATCACGTTGACCCAGCGGATATTTTTGCTTTGCAAACAACTTCAAAGAAGTAAATATTGAAACCAAGGAAGCTTTGTGGTAAATAGAGACAAAAGGCTGTTCAGAGCACTGTGGTTCCCTTTTTAACACCTCTGCCTGAAGGGGCGGTGTGAAAACAGGACAGGGGAAATACTGGGAAGGGGAAATCCGTGCCAAACTGTTGCCAAATGTGGAAAGAGAGGATTTGGGCAAGGCGATGATTTTATTAGCATGAACTCTGAAGCCCAACAATTTGGGGGGGGGGGCAACATGTAACCGCAGTTTAGGAGGGAAGGGGGTGAGGGCTGTGAGCTAGACAAAGCCTCCTTGTCCCAGGGCAGTCTACCACTGAAGCCCAACCAGCTTTGGGCCTGTCTTGGAGATTTTTTTGCTCACGGCTTATTCCACAAGATGCCGGAGCCGTGGAAGATTATGAGATCACATCATTCCCGCAAATTAATACCTGGGGGGTTCCTCTTGGAGAATCTTCCAAGCCTGGGGCCAGGGGGGGTAAATTTTTCGGACAAAGGGGGAGGCTCGGAAACTTGGAAAGTTGAGAGAGAAGTGGGTGCAGGGCTGGGTTTGGGAAATGTTTTCCTGCAGGAAAGGTTCCCCCCCCCCCACCGAAAAGCAGAAAATAATTCCCATCCTTGGAAGTTTTAAATTCAGGGCATTTGTTCAAAGGTGCTTTGGAGGGTGGAAGAAAGGAAGGAAAACAAGAGTTTAGGACTGGTAGCCAAAGGGGGGGTCGGGGGACCCCGCCCTCCAATTCCTCAGGGTTGCACCAAGAAAAC